GGACCCTCTTAGTTTGAACCCGCTACCTAATTCGAAAATCTAAATTTACATTGCAAATTAATTCCCCGTGTTCCTAATATAATTTTGGATTTTTGACTTATAACAATTTTTTGGGCCTTAAAGGTTTGGCCCAGTTCTGATGTGTGAAGCTGTTCAGGCGTGGACCTGGTGCCATGTAAATTGGGCCTGTTGTTGCACAACTGGCCTGAGCCTTACAAAAATAGGCTGAAGGGATTTTGGGCCAGTAGCCCAATTAATTTCAGATGGACTGATGAGGCTACTTGGGCTTCCAAGGAGCCCAAATTTACCGTTAATCCAGGCTCAAAGCCTACTCCACAAAGCTGTATAGTTGCAAACTATATTGACTCTTGGTTATTTACTTCTTCTCAACTTAAAACAGGCTTACCAAGTTTATCAATCTAAAAATATAATTGCAAGAATTGGATCAACTCTGAAGTTATCCAAATAACATAATATCTATTTATCCGTTTCTGACCTGACCTATTACACAAATGAATAGACTGAATTATATTAAAGACTAATGGCTGGAATGAAAACGGATATATACACACTATTTGCTGTTTTACAAGTGAACATTTGAAACCACTTCCTTATGCTACTTGCTTAATATTGAAAGCTCAATAATTACCAGATACAACTATGCTAAGTCATTGAATACTTAACAATCCTATATGATTTAGCAGCCACATAATAATCCCAATTCATGTCAACAGTCCTATTTAAACAGTCCATTCAATTACAAATAGGTATAGTTTAAACAAATTTTACTAGTATTAAGACTAATAGCAACTATGAAGGCAAATTCAAATAGAAAACTTGTATTCCTTCATCAGAGGACTTCAAAGTCATGCATACATAGCGATGTCTGTTTCCAGAACTTCTAAGTTGGAGAAATGTATCTGAGTATCGAATCAACAAAGAGAAATAATAGTCAGCAGCAGTTGGCAACTAACACCAAATTCATATAGCAATTCACAGCAACTGGAATCAATTTGGACTTAATTGGAACCCAGGAAACGATATTAAACCAAATCAGAATCAACTTCAGCTACTATAACACCCAAACAGCTTGAATACACTCAAAATCACTTGAATTTGACTCAGGAAGTTTCTGAAGCTTCAACAACTAAGAAAACCAAGCTAAATGCAGAATTAACCTAAGAGATGCAATGTAACTTATATTTTGGGGTTTTTGAAAGTTTTCTGTTTTTTTTTTTTGGAGAGTTTTATATCTAAACAAAAGGCTTCTAGAGCTATATGATTTCAGATCTGAACCTCTTTAGTGTTGAGGTTCAAATTTGAAGTTTAGACTTGAAGAAGGGGATTTTTGGGGGGAACTTAAGAGCTGGAGAGTTTGGGGAATTTTTAGAGTATCTAAACTTGTGATTTAAGGCACTATTCATGCCTTTTTATAGGCCAAATGAGGGGCAGCCCTCAAATTTTTTGTTTTCCTTATTAGTCCCTATTTATTTTCAGATTGGTCCTCTACTTTTTAACTTGTTCCTCAAGTTACTATCCCAAACTTCTAAAATTGTGACTAAAGTCTTATTTTAGAAGACTCTAGAGCATTCTAGTTTCAACCACTTGTAAAATTTCCATTCGAACTCCATATTTTACCCTCACTATTTCCCTTGAATTACCCATTTAAGCTAACTGACCCCAAACCCCACGACTAATTAAAGTCTGATTTATTCAGCTATAACCAGCCTAATTGAACTAATCCTAACAGCTAATTGAAAACAAACACTGAATTTAGAAACAAAATCATGCATCAAAGGAGTTTAACTCAATTACTTAACTAATTCAACACAGTTACTAATTATTAATTACTGAACGGCTACTAATCAAATTGCAACCAAATGACCATATTGTTATCAGAAGAAAAATAGCTACATCAAAACTGAATCAAATCCAACTAAACTAACAATTAGTTACTTGAACTAATTAACTATCATTTGAATATTTAAACTAACAGACGTAAAACGAAGCATACATTAGAATTGACCCAAATTAAAAATCAGAAATAACACAGAAGAACTAGACTCAAATTGATTAAAACGACTAATTAATTAAGAAGAAACACTAAGAAACCTAAGGAAACTCACCGGCCATTTTTTAGATTTAACAATTGACCGATTCCAATGGGGTTTGAGTGTTATTGACCATGAGTTCTTCATGAGGGAAGCCCGGGGACCATGTGGTATCAATTTGGAATAATTTGGTGCAACTAGGATTTTGGCCGGCAAACTTCAAATCGATACTCGAGAAGTTCCGGCCATATTCGAGGGTCAGGGCCTTGGGGGTTTGATAGAGGAGGTTATGGTGGTCCTATGGTGTAAACTTGGTGGAGTTTGGGGAAGGTGACGTTTTGGCCGGAAAATCTTTAATCCAAGATTCGCCACATTTAAGTAAAGTTCGATGGAAACCAATCACGGATTTGGAAAGAGGGGAAGAAGAGGAACAAAGGGTGTTAATTTGGAGTGATTTGAGTCGGACCGCCGCCGTGGGCGATTTCCGGCGGCGATTCACGGCGGCGTTACACAGGTCTGCTTTTGGGTGCGATGAGGGAGACGAGACCCGGGGAGGGGGGGGTGAGGGCTTTCCGACATTTAAATATCAAGCGTTCCCTAGTTCCTGGCAGTTGATCTAAGTATCCTAGACGGCTGGGATTGCTTGACGTCAAAACGGCGCCGTTTTGATTCCATTGGGGCAGGCCGGGTTAGAGACTAGATTGGGCCTGGGCATGGGGTGATTTTTGGTTCGATTTTTGGAGTCCTTATGTGCATGGCCCAAAATCAAAATCTTTTAATTCTTTTTATCTTTGTTTTCTTTTCTTTATTTTGTTTTCATTTTGTATTTTTATATTTTTTTTTCTGATTTTATTAAATGCAAGATTAAAATAAAAGACCCAATTGACTCTACAATTATACTAATTAATTTTCAAAGAAAATTTAAGACAAATTTTAAAAATTAAAAATAGAAATGCAAGGACTATTTTGGTATTTTCTTTATTTTTGTAATATAAAAATGCACACTATTTTTGTATATTTTTTGGAATTATATCAATAAAAAATGCACACAAAAATGCAAACAAGACACAAAATCATGCAATTAATTCCTAAAAATTCAAATAATAAAGGAAAATCCTAATTCTAAGGAATTTTATAGGAGAAATTTAAGCATGGCAAAAATCACGTGCTCACAGCTGCCCCTCTTTGCTTGAAGACACGAAGGGTTTTCGGGCAAAGATAAATGAGCACCATGAAGGATTTTTGCCTGCTCAGCACTCCATGAGAAGCATTTTGAAAACCGTCTGACCGAACCCTGCTTCAAAGGTTGCCTACATATCCTTGGCTATAAAGAAATCAGGTCAGTGTAGTTCTGGAAGGTTTGATAGCTGGGACTACCAGGAGCTGTGATTTCACAGTGGTTGCTGCTGCTGCTGCTTGCTGACCTCCTTATTACACCAAAAGGAAAATCAAAGCTAAGCTAGCTATGCCTATTAACTATGAGCTACAAGATTCCTATCTATAATTCTCTTGAAACTTGATCTTGAGTCTTAGCTGATTTTGCTGTGGACTTCGATCTGAATCTTGATGCTCGCAAGTTGTAGGTGTTTACTTCGTCATGCAGCATTGGGTCAAAAAAGGATCAGCGGAGCTTGTGACTACAATCAGATTTTGAGCAGTCCGCACCCTTGTTTGCTTCACATTTGAGTTCATTTCCTTTTGTTCTTTTCTTCTTTTCTTTATTCTGGATTGAGACTCATTCTGTCGGTCATCTCGCACCCTATGTCTTGAGGCTGACCTGCTTAAGATACCAAAACAAACAAACGAACGAAATTTTCTGCCCCAGTTTTCACTAGGAAAATTTCGTGAGTTAGTTGTGACACATATCTAAGCAATCAAATCAGGATTGTGTATCCTTGTGAATGGATCCAGTTTATGCTGAAAAATGACCGGGTTATGCCGGGAAAAGAAAAAAGGTCTCGGGTTATGCCGGGACGGAAAGAAGAAAGATCCTCGGGTTTTGCCGGGATTTGGAAAGAAAAAGCTCTTTGGGTTATGCCAGGGAGATCCTCGGTTTTTTGGCCGGGATTTGGAAAGAAAAAGCTCCTTGGGTTATGCCAGGGAGATCCTCGGTTTTTNGATTAAAATAAAAGACCCAATTGACTCTACAATTATACTAATTAATTTTCAAAAGAAAATTTTAAGACAAAATTTTTAAAAAATTAAAAATAGAAATGCAAGGACTATTTTGGTATTTTCTTTATTTTTGTAATATAAAAATGCACACTATTTTTGTATATTTTTTTGGAATTGTATCAATAAAAAATGCACACAAAAATGCAAACAAGACACAAAATCATGCAATTAATTCCTAAAAATTTAAATAATAAAGGAAAATCCTAATTCTAAGGAATTTTATAGGAGAAATTTAAGCGTGACAAAAATCACGTCTCACAAATATAACGACAAGGAATCTTTTGACCCAATAGTAAAACAAAGGACAATTTTAAATAATACTCCCTCCGGTCCAAAATAAGTGATATTTTAGATGTTTTGACACAGGTTAAGAAATCTACCTTTTAACATTAATTAGCAATAAAATTGACCATGTTAATCTTTACTATCTCTTTACATAAACACTCCTAACACATATACTCTAACACTATTTAATCCAAGGGCAATGCACGAAAAAAATCATTAATTCATTCTTGAAATCTGAAAAATCACTTATTTTGAACCACAAAAAAGACCAAAAATTACTTATTTTGGACCGGAGGGAGTACTTAGTTAATACTAGAGCGACATACATACCATTTACGAAATTGGACTTCGGGATGTTTCTTCGCCGTGTCCCCATTTGAGACAAAAGGAAGGATAACTTGTCAAGGAAATACAAAAGAGAGGGTTAAAGTTGTCCACTTACAGATACAACCGAAAAAGATGTGACTTCTTATAACATTGGATTCACATAATCCCCTCTTTCTTATCGTCGCCTTTCTTCTTCTTCTTCTTCTTCCTCCTCTCCTCTAAGCGAAAAACGCCTTTCTCAAAACATATAATTTTTGTCTTATTCTCTATTGCTATCAAAATTTTCTTTTCTCTCTTTTCAAGGTTTTCCAAATCTCAATCTAAAAATTTTTTCTAGTTTTTTTTCGTGTTAAACTAGTTTTCTAGGGTTCGATAATGGCGCCGCCGGGAGAGATGCCGTCGAATAATCTATGGGTGGGTAATCTAACCCCCGACGTAACGGAAGCCGATCTAACGGCTCTGTTCCAGAAGTACGGGCCGGTTGATAGCGTAACCTCATATTCGGCTCGTGGTTTCGCTTTTCTCTATTTCAAGAACATCAACGACGCTAAAGAGGCTAAGGACGCGCTTCAAGGATCTTTCTTTCACGGCAATCCGCTTAGGGTTGAGTTCGCAAAACCGGTTTGTTTTTTTGTTTTTATGTTCAATCAGATGGATTTTTGTTGTTTTTTCATCGATGTTTATAAATTTGTTTTTGTTAGTATTTGTCGTCGACGTTTGTGTGTTCCCGATCATCTTACAGGACATCCTTAAGCGTTTTCCCTCACTGAAAAATCAAAACAAAAGATAAAATGAGCCATACAAGATCTACGCTGGAGATGAGTAGATGCGTAGAAAATAGAAAAGAAAAATAGATGAACAATATAGGAAGAAAAAATTATTTTTTTACTTGATGACAACAACAGCAACCGAGTGTAATCCCACCACCGTCAGGATCTGGAGGGGTAGGATTGAATTTACGCAGCCTCATTCCCTACCCTCTACCTGCCCGGGTAGAGAGACATTTTTTTTACTTGATGGATGTTATTATTTTAGTAAAGAAATATGCCGATTTTGTTCGAATGCGAATATGCGATTAGAGAAGCAATGTATGAAAAATTCTGCCGAAATCGTTGAAATCGCTGAATCAAAATTTTGCAATTAGGAGATATGGCCGACATCTATTTGCAGTTCCCTCCCAAACATTTACCAATCTATGTGTTGAAGAGGAAATTTTTTATCAGCTGCGAAATCGGTGATTGGCATTGAACTAATGAATCGAACAAAACCAGCTCATTAGACCAGGCAAATAACCTTTATGGAGTTTTCTGAAAACTGCGCAACTGAATCAAAGTTGAATTAGATTAAAAACGTGCTCAAATTTGCAAAGCTTTAGGATCTTTATTCGAAGTTTATACCATGTTCCGCCAATATGTTGTGCTTGTCTGGCAAGCATAAAGGTAACCAAAATAGAAAAAAAAATACTAGCAAATTATTTTTAGAAGAGCATATTTCATTATACACTGGAACACGGTACGGATCGCTTCACACGTCCAAGACCATAGAGCACGATATGCAATAGGCACTATTTGTTGTTTGAAACTACATTGCCTTAAAACAGATTTTTGTAGAAAAATACCAGAACGTTAATCGCCCAGCTGCAATACCATCAAAAAGCAAATCAATTGCGACGTAAATGTCAACCACGTACTATATATGTTATATAGATTCCGTTTTATTTTTATATCCATTCTGACTGATGGAGATTTCTGGACTTCTTTGTGTCCACGTCCTTTCTCAAAGGTTCTCAGATGCTTTATCCTCCAAATGCATTTCCCGTTACATTTTAATAGACATTGAGATCAACTGATACGTGTAATTAATTTTAATTAATTATACAACAAATGCTAATTAGTTGAGTAGTAGTTTAGCCACCGCTCCAAAATATGGGGTATCTAGTAACTCATTGTCTTTAATATTTCAAGTCTTGTGAAAATGTTTGATGAAGTTTCATTCACTGATTACTTGTTAAAAGTTTAGTAAATGAAAGTTAATGGAACAACCTTTAGAAACGAATGTTTATTCTCAATAAGGAATATCTATATGTCAACGAAGTCCAATATAGATGGGTATAAAGAAAATTTCACTTATCGATGCATTGACTGTTATGTCTCCCCAAAGAGAAGAAAAGAGAAGAATCAATATATGAATGTTTAGGCGTTATTATGTAAATCTATGAAAAGAATTAGTTCTTATATAAGCATCCCCCTGGAAATCAAGTTCGGGAGATTCTTTTAACTTTTCACAAGTATGGCTAAGACTTGATAATACTTTCTGAAAACTTCCCTGTTTTACCACCTATTGGAGATACTTTATAGGGAATACGAGAGAACCAGTCCTTGCAGGAAAACATCCAGCTGAAGGAAAGTTAAGATATTCTATTTTATAGACGTGTTTGGTATAAAACAAAAACAAATCATATGCATATATGATGACTCCCTGTATTTACTTTTGGGATCAAAGGGTTGTTAAGTTTGGATGTAGAGGGTGCCAGGTGATGCATATTTTACAACTCTAGTTGCTAGAGGTATAGCTGGATATGAAAAGTGAAGGTTATGAACCACTAGAAAGAGCAGATAGGAAGAATGAACATCCAAGCACTAAAAAATGCCCCGCATAGTCAGCAAACTACAACTTTGTTGGATTACATGCATCCTGATGGCTTGAGCTAGCTCTCTCTTCAAAATAATGATATGTTTATTCATCAAAGGAGGGTGTCATATCTTTTTCAAGCTATTATAAATTTGGCGTGAATCTTCATGTACTTCTCGATTATCATACATGCTACATGCATGCCACCTCAGAGGTAGCTGGTCCCTTTGGGATCCTTAAGTGATGTGTTTATTTTTGAATTGGTTGGTATAAGATGCATACACATAGGGGTAGTTTGGGGGAAGTCAAATTGAACTATACATGTCATGGACACAATACTTGGGATAGACAAAAACAGGACATGTCCGTTGCTACAAACTATTCACCGGCTCTACGTCTTGAAATGATTTTCTCCTTTCATCTCGACGTTTGGACATTATCATGAGAATTGAAGGTTAATTACTTATAGGAGAAAGAAACATTCAATAAATTGCTCCGAAGCTTGACTTTTTCCTCGTTATGTTGACCTCAATGCATTAGAATTGGTTAACCACATACAATCAAGTCTACTATATGGGCATTTGGTACTTAGCCTCACATTGCCTGTCTGGTTCTTCAATGTCACTCTTAACTTGAGTTCATTTTCTTGTTGGGACTGAGATTTTGGCCAGTATATATGGCATAGTATTGTTTCGGGATATGCTCATTAAAGAATGTTACAAACTTTTATGTGAATGCTAAATTGACTTGGAGATTGTTCTGTGAAGCTACACCTGTATTTAACAACTTGATCATCTTTACTGATGGTTAATGTGCACTCTGTATTTTGTGCTCATGTGGCAACACTATGCCATTATCGTTGTGTTGTATGTTTGTAGAATTCCTTTATCACTATGGGTAACTCAACTCCTATTCTTTGATGACTGAAAACATTTTAGATTTTGTTATAGTTGTCCAAGTGCTGGTTTATTTGCCCAGCATGATTTTTTCTTACAGACATTAGATTACCTGTCTGTTTTTCGTTCTGCTGTGGTTCTCATTATGCATTGCACTGTGTCAGGTAGTTAGTCTAACAACAGTTATAATGTCTGGTTTGCAGGCTAAGCCATGCAAAAGTTTGTGGGTAGCTGGGATTAGCAAGTCCGTGTCAAAAGAAGAATTGGAAGATCAGTTCAAGGGATTTGGTAAAATTCAAGAATTTAAGTTCATCAGGGATCGCAATACCGCATATATTGATTTTACTAGACTGGAAGATGCAGCAGAAGCACTGAAGAACATGAATGGCAAAAAAGTTGGCGGTGAACAGATCCGCGTGGATTATCTCAGGTCACAACCTGCTAGAAGAGTAAGTTATTTTCTCTACAGCATGGTTTACTCTTACTGTAGAGATTTGATTCGTTTTCTGGAGTGGTACATTTTGTAGAGGAAATATATTATGATCATGGAAGTAGTTGTCAACCTTAAGAATGTGGGTTTTAGCTTTCGTAAATGAGTTTTGGTGTCTATACTCTATAGAAAGATTTTTGCGCGACAGTCACCTTGCTGGTACAAGGCATATAGAATCCAATTGTAAATTGTAACTCAAATCCAAAAGCTAGCTCTTGAGGGAAGGATTGCCAAGGTCACATAGCGAGATTACAATCCATTCTCAACCAATTTGGGACTTAAAATTCCCGCATACAGGATTAGATAATTGGAGCATGAATAATTTAACACTGGGGCCCAACATTGAGAAATATAACAATATGGATCGATAGGCCTGGCTGTGATACCATGTGAGAAATAAACCTTGTGCCTAAACCCCAAAAGCTAGCTCTTGAGGGAGGGTTGCCCAAGACCACATAAGGAGGACACAATCAATTTCCTCAACCAATGTGGAACTTAACAGTAAGAATCAAAGTTTGAGTTCAAGAGGAAAATATAGTCTTAGTGTTCGGTGTAGCCAAGGTGTGGTAAGTTCTGCGTATGTGAGCTTAGCAAAGCATAGTGGGTCCAATGTCTGAATAAAGGAAGAGGGTTGTGGGTAGATTGACAACAAGTGTATGATAAACTTTCTGAATGCTGAGTTCTTTGGTGCATGCCTACCTAGCATGCATTCCTAAATAGATTGGATTGAATGTTTAAGACTCGTATAACTGAAACCAACTAGTTTGGGTGGTAGTTTAGTTGATTGATTGATTGATTGTTTCTTGCTAACACAACTTTTAGGTTCACCCTGTAATCTTCTGGTTGATTTGTGGTTTCTTAATTTTTTTAATCATTCCTCATAAAAAATGAATTCTTAAATCTTTTAGGAGCAAGGACCGGAGTTTCGGGAGATGAGGGATGGACAATTTCCCAATAGGAGCATTGGCCATCCTGACACTCGGGTTATGCCTCAAGATTTTGTCAGGAACTACTCTGATCCTATGCATGCTGGCTTCAAAAGGCAACATGTAATGCTCCTTTTTCTTTGAAAGATTTCCATCTTTTTTAAGAGTGGTTTGGTTCATGGGATTATACACATGGATTGTTATCTGGTATATGATAATATGATTGTTTGTGTGGTGAATGATAATATAGATTTTGTTATGTGGTGAATGATAATGTAGGATTTTTTGGTGAATTGTTGAATTTGTTATGTGGTGAAAAATGATGTAAGATTTGTTGTGAATGATAATACAGGGATTGTTTAATAGAGATTGCCTACTTTAAGAGCATTTCTGTCTTTAGATACACGTTTTCAGGTAATACTACAAACCAAAGGCGCCAATAGTTTTGTAGAATTTTATGCCGAAACCAAAAATTGTAGATTACATTTGTAATACAGAGTTTTATGTGGCAAATTATGTTCTACTATGTGGAAATTTTATGCTGGGATTAACTCTCCTTAATGTGGCCAACCAAACGACCTGTTAGTACTGTTACTTGTTTGCATCAATTTGCAAAAGTTGGGTGTGGTGTGTGCCAATTGCTGAAGCTAGTGGTTAGTATAGATATGACGTTAGGAAACTAGGTGGTTAACCATTGGTTATGATTAGTATAGATATTCCGTTAGAACATTGGGTGGTTAAGATGGTTTTATGTTGAATGAAATATATGCTTGTTAGTCCTAATTTTCACCCCGAGCATCTTCTTTTGCGCAGCCATTCCAGTTGCCAGCGGGACAAAGTGGACAACCTAGTAAAGTTTTGTGTATAAGTTATCCACCCTCTGTCCATGTTGATGAAGACATGCTACACAATGCTATGATTTTGTTTGGTGAGATTGATGGAATAAAAACATTTTATGATAGAAATTACTCATTGGTTGAATTTAGAAGCATAGAGGAAGCCCAGCGTGCTAAGGAGGGGTTGCAGGGCAAGCTTTTCAATGATCCCAGAATCACAATAGAATATTCAAGCAGTGGTCCTGCACCTGGCAGAGATTTCTTGGAGTATCATCCTTCAATTATGGGCCCAGCACCTGATTTTTATCCCAATGAAAACCCATTCCAACCTGCACAGATGGGCTTATTTGGCCATAGTCGCCCTATGTTGGCTTCTAATGTACCTGGGCATATGCCACCTTATGGTACTCATGGTCCTGAGATCCCAGCAAGGCCTTTGGGTACGCAAGGCAGGTTTGACCCTGTTATTTCAGGCCCAGAATTTACTGATTCGCCAGTGCTTCGGAAATTGCGAGACACAAGTCCTCATACTATGATTGGAGGTCCAAATTGGAAGCAGTCATCTCCAACACCGGGGTTGCTTTCTTCTCCTTCAGGTGAGCAGAAACCACCTAATAGATCTGCCCTTGGTGGCTGGGATGTTTTCGATTCTAGCCAACTTCAGAGGGAAACTAAAAGATCAAGGATTGATGGGGCTTTGCCATATGATAGTTCTCTCCCTCCTAAAAGAACAGATGGTCGAGCTCCTGGTCATGACTATATATGGCGTGGCGTTATCGCCAAGGGTGGAACACCTGTTTGTCATGCTCGCTGTGTGCCTATTGGGGAAAGGATAGAATCGGAGATGTAAGTATTTTGTATTTTTCTTGTTTGCTAAAGATCAGGTTTTTGAATTTCCTCACTGATTCAACACTCTCCAGATTTCTCAGCTTGTTGATGGGGGTCACTTATCATCTTTCCTAATTTGTTTTTCAATTGATCGCTACAGTGATTTCTAACCTTTTGTTGGATAGTATTTATTTTTTTTTTTTTTGGGGGGGGGGGGGCGGTGTGTGTTCCTTTACAGAATTACTGTGAAACTTAATTCTGAAATATGTTTGAGAAAAGGTTATCAAGATAACTTGCTGTTAGCATTGGCGTGTGCATGATTCTTCTTTGGATACTTGAAATTTTCTTAAATAATATTTATGGTTTTGCTTGGTACAACTAACTTGGAACTAATGTGTATGACTTTTATTATTTTTCCTTCATTCAGTTGCATGCACCCAATTACTTCTAATAGGTTTGATATACTTAAGTCCTCTGATACTCACATGCCACCACAAAATAAATAAGGAACAGTCAAGTGATGAAATGTTATTTTCTGCAGTCCTGAGGTAGTCAATTGCTCCGCCAGAACAGGATTAGACATGCTAACTAAACACTACGCAGATGCTGTTGGGTTCAATATTGTTTATTTCTTGCCGGATAGCGAAGAGGATTTTGCTTCATATACAGAGTTTCTGAGGTACCTGGGTTCAAAAGATCGTGCTGGGGTTGCAAAATTTGGTGATGGGACCACCATGTTCTTGGTGCCACCTTCTGACTTCCTTACGAAAGTTCTGAAAGTTGTTGGTCCAGAGCGTCTTTATGGGGTGGTTTTAAAGTTTGCACATCATATACCTGGTAACACATCTTTGCCACCAGAGTCCAATCAACCTCAATATGTGGATGCACCACGGATAACATCCTCTCAAGCTGCGTATGATGCAATGCCATCCATGGAAAGGGTTTCACAGATGAACTATAATCAGGTTACCCGAGAAGATCTGAAGCTGCCTTCAAAAGAAGTCAGTTCTCTGACTGATGCGCACCCTGCAAATCCTGCGCAGCCAAGTAATACTGCAGCATACCCTGTGAATCCTGTGCATCAAAGTAATACTTCAGCGCCAACCCAAGCGGGGGTCACTTTAACACCTGAACTTATTGCAACCCTAGCAAAAATGCTACCAGCTAACAAGTTATCAAGTGTGGAAGGGGCAACCGTGCCTGCAGGAGCGTCTGGCGGGATGCCTGCATCAGATGTTGCTGTTGCACCTGGTAAAGTGCAGCAACAATCTTGGAGATATGAACATCAAGCTCCTGGTCAAGCTGCCGATCACATGGCACAGTTTGGTAGTCAGTTTAACAACCAAATGCAAGTTTTACCACAGCTTCAAGCTCATCCAGCAGGCTTGAACACACCTAACCATTATTCTCAAGGGGCCACTGGTTTTAGCCAAATGCAAGAGCATAGCCTAAACTTGCGAGCACAAGGTGGTCCTCCTCAGACATTGACATCGACCATGATTTCTCAAGGCACACACCTCTCAGCTCAGCCCCATGTTGATCGCCACCTTCAGCTTGGAACACATCAGGATGCTGTGAGTGGTTCTGGGACTCATACCACTGATGCCTTAGGACTGTATGGTTCATCTGTCTCTCAGCAACCAACAAATCTTGCTTCATTGCCCAACCAGACTTATGGTGCTAATGTTCCTCAGCCACAGGCTGGCATGCCTGTTGCCTCTGGGATGGGGCTCGCAACTCAAATGCATCAGTTGCAGTCTGCACTTTATGGGTCAGTACAGGAGGGACCAGAATCAGAGGTTGACAAGAATGAACGCTACCAGGCAACTCTATTATTTGCAGCTAATCTACTCTCTCAGATACATAAGCAGAAGCCAAGTAGTCAAAGTGGGCAAGGGTCAGGCAATCATTGAGAAGATCTCCTTAAGCTAGGTAACTGCTCAACTCTTGATTCATGTGGATTGTTCTTTAAAAAAATTCCATTTTGAGCAATTTTTGTGCATAACGTGCTCTCCTGTCTTTCCAACTTCTTAATTGGTTTCGGTGCTTTGTCCATCTCCTTTGTCCTGCCGTTTTTTTTAAAAAAAGAACTACCATTGTCCAAGGGAAAGAGAGAGGATCAATGTGCTAGCTAGTAATTCTTTTTGGAAGAGAATGAAGATTTGGACTTTTCCCATTTCATGAAATCTTCAGTATCTAGAGGGCCTGAATGAGAAGTGAAAATCTAGACTCTTGATGGTTTTGGTGTAAAGTTAGGCATTTGAGAAAATTTTGCTTGAGGTGAAAAGCTTGAATAGTTGTAGAAAAAAAATCGTGAAAAGTTGGAATGCAATTGCTTGTGAAATTGGTAATTATTGGAATTATTTCTCTAGTCCTGTAGCCTCCTTACTGTTGTGACAAGTTTTCCAGGAGTCATTTTTTGGTTCAGTAAAGGTATAATTCATCAATAAGATCGTGCAGAATATGTACAGAAAAAAGCAAAGAAATACATCTGTAATTTTGAAGGGAGCCATAAATTCTAACGGGGGAATTCAATTGAACCCTCTTCCTTATGGGAGCTAATAATTTCTATGATGCTGTCAGCATCTTCACTAAATTCCAGTATGCACCAAAGTGGAAGCAAAAGGAAACAATTAAGCTTGATCTGGCTAGTGCGCTCTTTCCTGCTCTAGTTGCATCCTAAATTTATGAGTATCCCTATTAGATGTCTAGCATGTACCTTTTGCACCATACCTCCGACTTTAGGTTGAGTTTTGGTGGTGGTGAAGCAGTTGTATTCTGGAGCTATTGGCTTTCCTTTCTTACACTGAAATTCTGTAAATCAGGTGAACCTCAGTATTGATCCTCTCTATTTTCCTGTGACATATTGCTTTTTGCGGGGCAGATCTCTTTCTCTATATGGCCATTTATTTCTATTGATTGTTGTTCACATGCTTATTATACTTTATTTTTCTGGATCTTCGCCTTCTTGTGCTCCAAGCTAACATAATATTTATAGTTAAATATGCTATCATCTTATTTGTCTCTTATAGTTCATTATTATTGGTTTAGTGAGAGCCTTTCCATTTTTGCATGTCTGATTACCCCAATTTGTTGCATAATTTGTTATTGCTTATTCTATCATCATATATTTGTTGCTACTTTTATTTCAGTTTCATATTGGGTATATGCATTAGTTAGGATTGCATTGTTTATACTCATGATAATGTAGCTCACTTTGAGATCTGATGAGATTTGGTATTTCATCTGTAGTTGATATATATTTGCTGTTAGTAGAACCTTTAAGAGTTTAAGGAACCTTTATTTGGATTGAGTTGTAAATTGGCTTTATGGACCTATAATTTTACTGATTCCTGAAACCTATATTCCTGCATTATTAAATATGCCTTCTCGTTAATATATATTTTAGGAATATACTAAGATATATGAGATGCAAACTCATTAAAACTATCCAAAACTCTGCGCAAGGGCACTAGCAAAATTTGAAATTCATGTTTTCAGTAATAGAATTCTCTATATCCCTATAAAAGTCAGATATAGTTCCCTTTACCTATAGGAGAGAAACCACGGAAATAAAAGAAAAGGGAGGGAGTAGTCTTGCTGTCAGCTTTCGTGCACATATAAGAAGCATCCCGCTAAGTCGTTTCTTACCTCTGGGCATCGTTATAAAGTAAATGAATAAATCTTTTACACTACATGAATAAATTGATACAGCTCCATTTTAAAAAAAATGAATAATTTGATATAGCTGGTTGGCTCTGCAACTAGTTATAAACATGCCCGCAGACTTAAAATATTATCTTCCAAGTGAATAATGGCTATCTAACTCCAATCACCTAATGTCCTCTCAAATTAGTAGCTTTTTAAACTTGCTTCACCCACCACTATAAGGAAAAAATGACAAACTATATAGTCAATGATGCACCAATTCGACAATGTGATTGAGTTTAGCAAACGAGATCATTATTAAAGCCGGATAGGCTAGAAGCTAAGTGAGTTCTTAAGTAATTGAGACTGTTTCTCCGGATTCGGGCCCCTTTGGAAGATTTTGGATGTTCAATGGGTGTCTATAACTTAGCTTGCTCTAATAACCACGTGAAACTCAAGTTTGTGGTAGGCCAAAGAGTCGAGGCATAATTAGTATGGTAAGTTTTAACTTTCTTTCGGAGTAAAGCAAAATAGCCAAAGAGATGTGGATAAATGGAAACATTCGAACTTTTCTAGCTTGGAAAAAATGGAAGGATAGGAGCTAAAAATAAATGACCAGAACTCGCTTGAAATATAAAAGATCATTCAATCTAAACGTACCTGCGTAATATCTTTTCTAGATTATGACTCGTTAGTGGAGTAGTACGTAAATGTATTCCTGAACAAACTGGTTTCCAATACCAACTTAATAATATGGTTTGTTGATTTACAATTGATGTCTTTCAGTCAAATACCCAAACAGGTGAGGTCTCCTAGTGCTTCTTTCCCATGTTCGTTCAGCAGAAATTTTATTGAGCTCCATTCTGCTGTTGCGAATACAATAGTCCTCCCATTTTCCAAAAATCTCCAATTTCGTTTCCCAAGAAAATCGCTCTTTGAAGAGGAAGAATGAATTGTTAGTGTGGACTATTTAGAAGATAAATGGGATGATATGTAAGATTAAACCATTGTATACTTGGTAGATTCTGCCATATCCTAACAAAACCTTTCCCATGGTTCGACGTGCACTTGTATGATCTGCAGAGCCTTAACTTGTACTTTAGGGGCTCTGGTATCTAGCATATCTTTACCTAAATAGTTTAAAATGATGGATCTTCTTGCTTCAGAATGCAACATTTACTGGATCTAATGTTTTGTGGAATGAGTGTTGTCAGGAACTGTATGTTTACCCTCAACCTGTAATTTTTCCCTTTATATCTCTCAAATAGAAACTTTAGGTTAATCCGTCTATTTAGATTTACCTCTGGAGCTAGGGCGAGAGTGTCCTGATCAGCACAATATATGCTGTGAAGTTTAATTCAGCCTTTGACTGCTTTTCTGGAATACGAAAGACTGGAGGAGCTACTAAAAGTACTATATTTATCTTATAACGGTACCTTCTCTTACCATATAATCTTAATATTACTGCACAGAAGAAACTTTTGCAATGAGAAACATGGTCTTAGCTAAATCGTTGATTTCAGAAAAGATTGTTACAAGTTAGCAAAATGATTTAAACATGAAACAGAAAGCTTCATAAAACTACGGGCGGAACCACGTTCCAACCCTGGCTCTTGTTCTCGAAAGGAAATGGTTATCTCCTGATATCCCCCCCCTCTTTTTTTTTTTTTTTTTTTTTTTAATATTCCTCTTCATCAAACTGTGACAAAGACTAGGAAGTTGGCGAAATATGGAATTCTCAGCTGTGTTACAATTTATTGATAACCACAGATTAGGGGACTGATTACAAACTTGTTCGCTCCAAGCAACCCAGGCACCAATTTTTACCGTACTTTTGTTCCGTGCAATGGATCAGAATGTTCCTGTCAAATGAAGATTGTAAAACGTAGGACATACACTGTAGTCTAAGCAACCAGGCATCAACCTCCTTGTTTGTGTTACCGTTTTTCGCCGTAGGATTATGTCTTAAGGTCCAATTGAACTAATCAAATGAACCGAGTAGTAATGCCTTATACTTTCAGGATTTGTCTAAAGGTCCAACTGAACGAATCAAACAAACAACTAGTGTTGCCTTCTGCTTTCACTTTTTACCACTTAGAGGGTGTTTGGCTAAGCTTATAAGCTGGTCAAATTAGCTTATCAGCATTTTTTGGCTTATCTATGCGTTTGGTAAAGTTAAAAGTTTTAAGTAAAAAATAAGTCAAAAGCCATAAGCTGGTCACCCCCAGCTTATGAATTTTTAGCTTATAAGCACTTTAAGTTTGATCACGATTTTTACTATTTTATCCTTAAAATATTTCTTTTTAGAACAAAACTCCTACATCGATACTCGTCTCAAGTATTCAACCTAAACCCTTCCGCCCCACCCCACCCCCCTACCCTCCACCTTTTCAAGTCTGCAATTCTCATTGACTATTTAAGATAAGCAAATTCTCTATTTCTTTGCATACTTATATCTGTGTGATTGTGTATTAATCTTTGAACTGTATGAAATAAATGAGGACATATCAAATTTTTGGTGTATTTAAAATAAAATGACAGATAGAATATTTTGTATTGGAATCGATCTGGAATTTAAAATTTTGAAGAATTACGCCCTTATAAGTGTAAACAATTCTAAGGTTATTTAAGTCATTTTAACAGAAAAAGAGCTTATCAGCACTTTTTAATCAAATACTGCAGCAACTTATTACCAATTTCAGCACTTGTACCCAGATACGTAACTGTTATATTATTAAATTAGTTTCAGCACTTAAAAGTGCTTTTCAGCACCTAATGCTTATCGGCTACTTCACACCAGCTAATCCAAACGGCTCTTAGACTATTTCGAATCACAGAGCCAAATGGATAGGTACAATTTTTTACGGGGTTAAGGTACGGTGTTTTCAGATTTCCTCTTGGAAAAACTTTTTGATATATGCAAAAACCTATAGACTGGAAAATATTCAAATCAATCTGATCTGAATCTGCAGTTATAGCAGTTGGGTGGGTTCTATTATTTAGCAGTGCTTATTGGTTGTATCGCATATAATCCTGACATTCATAGGATACTCCGATATTTAGGCAATGAGTTGGGATATATTGGAGAGATAACGTGCTTTAGTTTGAGCCATTAATTTTTGTGGCGTTGACTTATGTGGGCCCCGTAAGCTAAAAATAGTTTATTTCTGAAGAAGACAGAGCATAACATAAGAGTGAAGTTGATTTGAGCTGGCTGTTTAATTTTATTCCACACAAAAAGAGATACTGATAGAAAAAAAAAATTAAAATTTACTTCGTGAAACTGTCTAACTAGCAAGCAGTACTCAGGAAAAAATTGGAATTTGTACCTCGTTTAACTGACAATACTTGTATATTTTCCTTTGTCAATCGGCTACAAGTCATACGGTTGAAAATTAAAATTTGTCAAGTATTACTTTTCCAATTTTTGTTTCTTCGAGATATATACAAAGTTATAAACTAACTTAAAATGTTCTTTCCTCTTTGGTGTGGTAGGTAGCTGGCGTGTCATGGTTACCAAGATTTCTGGACAAAAGGCACAAGAAATGGGACATATAGTTGCTTGCGATAGTTCAACCTTCAAATGGCGACTGGTCTTTTAGTTATGTTCTGTGTTTTGCCTTCTTGTTTTCTTTTTGTCAGGTGTTAGTTCTTTTTTCATCTTTCTTCTTTTTTCTCTCTCTTCTGTTTACGAAAGAAAAAAGGCGAAACACAGTTCAGAAATTCAATTTTTGGTGGTTTAACTTCCTCTTCTGTATTTCAATTTCTTGTTAGACGTTTAAGTGCATTGTTTGTTTAAAAAGCCAGATTAAAGGCATATCCATCGGAAAAGATGAATTTGACCAAAACATGGGAAGTGTTTGACAGTTCGTAGAAATTAATGAGATTTTTCCTTGATCTTGTTATCAAGATCGTTGTTTTCAAAAAAAACATAATTAGAGTAGTTGTTTTTCAGCAGACAAAAATTGTTTATGTTGACAATCAAGTTGGTTTCGAGTCATTCACAGAAACATTTAAAGAAAGATTTTCCCCCAAACTAGAGATCTAGCTTGATGGACCTATTTTGCCAATAAAAAACAGGAGAAATGAAAAAGCTGGGAAATATTGGGGTGAAAATACCCGCACTCACTGTAGTTTCAAATAGTAGGTTTCGACGTGTAAGTCAAGTCAGTAGTGTTCTTAAATAAAATAGCCTAATAGCGTATTTGGTCAAGTTGCAAAAATTTGTTTATTTTGAGAATTACTTTTAGTGAGAAGTAGTTTGTGTTTGACTAATTAATTTGAAAAGCACTTTCGAGAAGCAATTAATGTTTTGCCAAGTTTTTAAAAACTACTTCTAAGATTTTTCTCAAAAGTGCTTTTAGAGAGAAGTTACTTTTTTTTGCTTTTCCAAAACTACTTCTGCTTCTCCTTAAAAGCACTTTTTGTTCTTCTAAAAGCTTGGTCAAACACTTCAACTTTAAAAAAAAAAAATTGAAAAAAAAGTGCTTCTAGGATTGAAGAAGCTTGGCCAAACATGAAATAAGTGAAGAGAAAGACATAAAAAAACAAAAGTAACGGTGACGATATTTCGATTATGTCTTAGTCAAAAGTCGCGATACTTCGGGTATGTTTGGTATGAAGGAAAATATTTTCTGAAAAATGTTTTCCAATTTTCCCATGTTTGGTTGGCTTAAATGTTTTGGAAAATATTTTCCTTATCAATTCATTTTCCTCCAATTGGAGGAAAATATTTTCCTTATCAAAAGAAGGGAAAACATTTTCCAAAGCTCCTTCTCAACCTTTCTCACCCTCACCAACCCGCCCCACCCCCTTTCCCAAAAAACGGTTTTTTTTTAAACTTTTACTAGTTTTTCCGTTACCTACTCCACCCTACTACCCCTCCACCCCCCTCCCCGACCCCCCCTTTCCCTCCCCCCCCAAAAAAAAATTTTAAATATATTTTTAGTTTTTAATTTTATTATTTATCGATTTAATGGCTCAAAATTTTATAAGTTCCAAAATTATGAGTTCAGAGGTTTATGTGTTTGGAAGTTTACGGGTTTAGAAATTATAAAGTTTACGGGTTCGAAAATACGGGGTTTTTGCGTTAAAAGTAAAGCATCACATTAGTTCCTTTAGATTGTGTCAATTTTTAGAGACTTCGGGGGGTGGGGGAGGGGAGGGGGAGGGGTGGGGGGAGGTGGGAGGGGGAGGGGGAGGGGTGAGGAGAGTTGCATAAAAAATATTTTCCTAAAAAAAACTATTTTCTACTCTCTAACCAAACAATAGAAAATATTTTCCGGAAAATATTTTCCACTTACCAACCAAACAAGAGAAAATAAGTGATAAAACCACTCATTTTCCATGAAAACATTTTCTAGGAAACATTTTCCATGAAAAACATTTTCCTTCGTACCAAACACACCCTTCTTCTTATTTTGTTTCTGATTAGTCACTTTTAACTGTCCTTCTCAGTTGAACAATTATTGTTAGAGTCCGAAACCAAAATTCTTTTGGACTGAAAGAACCAAAACGTGTGAAAAAATAAATTGGTGACCAAAATATATATAAAGCCTTAGCTAAAGGTGCTATACCTTAACGACCGTTTGCCTAATTAGTATAGCGCCTTTAGCTAAGGCTATATATATATATATATATATATATATATATATATATATATATATATATATATATATATATATATATATATATATATATATAATATATATATATATATATATATAAAGCCTTAACAAACCGCGCTATATATATATATTATGTCGGCCCACCAATAATTCTTCTGGGCTTAACTGACATAACAATAATTCAACTGGGTATAGCGCCTTAAGCTAAGGCGCTATACCTCAAATAATTGTACCTCGGGACTGGTTTTTGCCTTATTTAAAGAGGTTAAGGATTTTGTAAAATCCATTCATAAACATTTTCAAGTCTTTTGAAATATTTCTTCGTTAAGTTATTTTGCATTTTGTCATAATGTCTGAAGAGCGAAGAATTAGGGTTTCATTATATTGAGGGGGTGGGGTGAGGTTGTGGTGGCGAATAACTCAGTAAGCTATAGTTTATCTCCACATTGTCATGTTAAGTTGTCACTTACAACAGAGTATGGCAGATTAGTATCGTTGTTATGTAATAAAATGAGTGTGAGCAAACGTTCGGTGAATATTAAAGTGATCGGAAGATATCCCTATTCTGTGACTTCGCAAGGGGTTGCTTGTTATGCTGAGTTTAACATCGATGAAACTCTGAGAAATTTTTCAGGACTCTGGATGAATACCGGGAATTTCTTGTGATAAAACTGTTAGAAATGTACGTCAAGACTGAAGATGTTCTCAATAATGAGGCTACGCAAAGTAGGGGTATCCCTCAATCATCGGGTGGTTATTTTGGAGCAGTTTTAGCCGAACAGGTTCTGGGTGAAAGAGTTTGGCCTGATCTAAACTTATCTCCACGGGTGAATGAGGAGTGAGGAAATAATTTGTCTTCTAGTTTACATGATCCACAATCCGAATGGTAAACTTCAATTTTCCTTTGTGCTAAGATGTATATTGTTGTGTATTGAATTTGTATTAACAGTCATATATCCACAGAGATACCGGCTAAATATGAATTTTACAAGTTATGAACCAACGCCCACTTGGAATATGCCTGATTTTGATGCGTTGGATCATGATGGTCCACCCGGGAGTCATCTTCAACAGGATAATATCCATCATGGGATATCAACACATTATGATTTGTAAGTGAATATATAAAGTTATATGTAAAGTTTGGATCAATTTGAGTAATTCATTATTTATTGGTTGTGCAGTGAAAACGAGCAACTTGAAGATCCTGTCCTTACTCAATTGCCCGAAGACGGCATATTTAGTCAGGATCTAGCAGATGCGCAGAGTTAGGAAGAGAATAGTGAGTATGACAACAATGCCGATGAGTCTGGAGATGACACACCCTTCCCTAATGAGGGTGACGAGGAGGAGGAAGAGAATGTTGAACCTGATTTGACGAGGGAGCATGTTTCACCTCCCGTTAAACCAAGAGTGTACGAGTCCCACGTGCCATTTCATTTAAAGGAGATTCTCTAACCTTGATCATTTGCCAAGTATGTCGGATGCGATGCCCTCACAAGGGATATTGACGAAATTCGGACAGCATTAGGGGATGAATCTAGAGCAACGGTGCTATCAAAGGGCATGCTTTTTCCTGATAAAGCACACCTAAGCAGGGTGGTGCGAATGTACATCGTAAAAGAGTGTCGCGAGATGATGGTAGCAGAGTCATCTCCGGATGTATACAAGGTTATTTTCCATAGATGGTTTACAGGTTGTAACCGGATGCTGCGTGCAAGGAAGAATAAAACAAATATGTGGGTTATGGATAAATACATTGGCTCCCATAATTGTAAAATGGACACATTTAGCGGGAATCACTTTAACTTGGATGTTGACCTGATATCTTTTGTCTTGATTCCACACATTGAAGCGTCCATAAGGTACAAGATCAAATAGTGTATAACATCTGTCCACCAGGAATATGGATGTACTATTACCAAAAGAAAGGCATTTCTCGGGCGCAAACGTGCGTTGGAAAGTGTTTATGGTAACTGGGATAAGTCCTCTGCATCTCTACCCAGGTACATGGACGCATTGCAACACTTTAACCCCCGGAATGTTGTTGAATGGAAGCTTGAGCGGAGTTCGGGAATACCAGAACATATATTCAGATATGTGTTTTGGCATTTAAACCAGCAATTGATGGTTTTGTGCATTGTCGGCCAATAATATCCATAGACGGCACTCATGTCTATGGATGTGCTATTAAGTTGTTGATCGTCGTTGTAGTAGATGCTAACGGAAGTATATTTCTCCTAGCTTTTGCTATTTGTGCCAATGAAAGCCAATAGATGTGGACACAATTTTTGAACCATTTAAAGGAGCATGTTGTCAGACAACGTTCAGGTATTTGTCATCTGATTTGCATGGCGGTATTTTAAGTTCTGTAAAGAATTTACCTGCATGGCAAGAACCGTATGCCTACCACCGTTACTGTGTGAGGAACCTGAAGGCCAATTTCCATAAGGCATATTCCAACAAAGACTTGCATGATTTAATGTGGATGGCTGCAACAGATCACCAAGAGTGTAAATTCAAGAGGCGCATGGAATCGATCAGGCAGGAAGATGAAGGAGCCTATCGTTGGTTGATGCGTCATGAGCTTGACAAGTGGACATTGCATGCGGATGGTAGCAGGAGATGGGGAATTTTGACTACAAATATGTTAGAGTCTTTCAACAGGTTATTGAAGTCTGCACGTGGATTGCCAGTCACTGCCACGGTGCGGATGTCATTCAAGCATATGGCAGAGAGGTTTGTTGAAGGGGATAGAGGTTTGTGTTGTAGTATTAAAATAACAAAGAACCCGAGAAATAAAAATATAATGCGCATATTATGTAAACCATAAATAATGTTGCTATTATTTACTGAATGTCATATGTACATAAAAGAAACAAAAAAAATCAATGTGTCCCACAACCTTTATGCTTTAAAGCAGCCGATGGCCTAAGGAGCATCCCATCCTATCCCGCCCGGCTAACTATCAGGATTATCCTCATCACGTCGCCTCTTTATCGGAGGATGCACTGCAGCATGATCATCAGTAAGGCTTGCAGGCTCAATGGAAGGGGCCGTCGGTCCAGCAGTAACCTACAGAATAATAAGATATTATAGTATATGAAACATATATTAGTAATGTACGTGTTAACTAAAAAAATTTAAAATGTCTTATCATGGTCTCGACGGGCTCCTGAATATAATCATCCGTCTCAGGCATGTTCGAATCACACAAAGTGGCCTCCGTGACGGGCGGGGATGATGCCTTAAAAAAGGCTTTAGATATTT